TATGTTTTTCTTAGAATATAATACAGACTTTTGCACAAAAAATGCCACATCTGGGCCTCCATACATGTGACTGTGTCTGCAGAGACTCTGTCCTCTGCCTGGTTTTTCATGTTTTAGGTTTGTTTAGTTTGACTCGGGATGTTTCTGGGCGGGGAGCTGGTGTGTTTCCTCCCAGCCAATGACAGCGCGCCTGTGAGTTAGGAGTGGATACAATCCAGCGAATAGATGCGATTCAAACCGGTGAATAAAAATGGACGTGCACGTAGCGGTGAAGAAGAGAAAATACAGTCAAAGTGAGGCCAAAACGCCAAGTGGTTAAAGCTTGTTTCAAAAACGAGGGTCAACCTTATGTTTTCTTTTATCCCAGACGTTGGTCTACTTCCTGTTGGTCAGGCAGGTGACAAACAAGTTAGCTTGTGCTAACGTGCGGTAGCTTGCAGAGTAGGTACAAGCAGTAAACATACACGCTGAAGTCCTGCAGTGAGTGGGCGCTTCTCAGGGCGATGAGCGCAGGAGGAGGAGGGGCCAAGTTTGAATGTTGTGTTTACAATCTGCAACAAACATTTCTACTGACTCCACCTTTAACTTGAATCCTAAACAATGTTCTGTTACCCGTCTGAAGGAATGAAAACATCTTCTGTTTGTATCTGTAATGCTTTAAAGTTGATTGAGTAAATATGTCTTCATAAAACTTCATTTATGTAGAGAGTCGGCCATTTTGGCTCTTTCTTTGGCTATATAACACTTTTTCTTTTTATGCTTTAAACTGGTACTTTAATTGATTTTGGTTTTGAATGCACAACAGAATTGTTTTTTTCAGTGTTTAATTATTTCTTTTAAGATCAGAATCTGAAAATGTTTTCCACCTTTGACCCCTCAAACACATCCCTCAGTGTATGACCAATATCAAGTATTAGATAGTGTTGTGGTAATGTGTGTTTTGTCCTCAGTGTATTTCTGGTCTGAATGCCCCTCAGGTTCTCGGTACCGACCACCCAGATGTGGCCAAGCAGCTGAACAACCTGGCTCTGCTGTGTCAGAACCAGGGCAAGTACCAGGAGGTGGAGCAGTACTACGAGCGCGCTCTGCACATCTACCAGAGCAAACTGGGACCAGACGACGCCAACGTGGCCAAGACCAAGAACAACTTGGTGAGGCCGACCTTCTGGGAAATGTGCATGACTTCACTGAGACTCTTAATGTGTGTCAGTCATTTTCCACACAGAGTTTTTCATTTTGCATTTAACAGATTATAGAGAGATAGAATGATCCCAGGTGTAAATGTGCAGTTACATCATAGAGAGCTGTGCAAGTCCAGTGATGCATATCATGTTGACGTGCAAATAAGTCTGCAGAGATTATATCAGTAAATAGTATGAACAGATGTAATAACAAGCAGATACACTAATCGAGTTTAAGTGAATGTGCAAGGATAAAAAAGCAAACTTTACAGGAACAGAGCAAGTTCTAGTTTAGATTAGACTGAGATAAACAGGATGTCAGTTCTCTGTTGTACTATTATTGGTTTCCTGTGTCTCGATCCTGGTTTCAGCAGAACCAGTCTGTTGGAGCAGCAGTCTGTCCAGCAGTTATATTCGTCTCTTGCTCACTCTTTTATTTGTTGTTTAAAGTAAATTTGTCTCTCTGCTAATGGAACTCATTCACTTGATCTGTCTCCCTGTTCCTCCTCAGGCGTCGTGTTATCTGAAGCAGGGGAAGTACAGACAAGCCGAAGCTCTCTACAAAGAGATCCTGACCAGAGCGCATGAAAAAGAGTTTGGATCTGTAGAAGGTAACACAACCGTGCAGACGAATCAAGGCCGGCTACGATATTCTAAAGTCACAGATTGAAAAGAAAAAACTGAACCAGGAGGGATTTTAATGACTTTTAAATGGACTGTGTGTTTGATTAATGTCACCGTTTATCTAAAACATTACAACATCTCTCTTAAAAACAAGCAGATGATCCTTCTTTGGTGGCAGGCAGACACAAGAACACATAAAGGCAACGATACAGTCTGAGGGGGATATTTATAATCCTACAAAGTTTGATTGAAGCTTGTTTTTCTGTAGACGTACAATGTGGATAATTAGTTTCATAAGTTTAATTCAAGAAAGTCAAACACAGATTCATTATTATTTGTTTACCTTCTCTTTGTTTTTTCAGGTGATGGACGTCCCAGCTGGTCGGGTGCTGAGGACAGCAGCTCCGGTCAGGACGGACTCAGCAACCTGAAGCGCAGCGGCTCCTTCACCAAACTCAGAGAATCGATACGGAGGAGCAGCGAAAAACTAGTGCGCAAGCTGAGAGGAGTCGGAATGGAGGAGACAACCCCGACGAATGCTGGGTAAGATTTACATCTTCCTGTCGTGAGTGTTGGTCCAACTGAGAGCAGGTCTCCTTTTGTCCTGATATTAAGTCCTCTCTGTGACATTCTGCTTTCTGCTCAGGATGAAGAGGGCGAACTCTTTGAATGTGTTGAACGTTGAAGCCAGAGAGAGTCGAGACGGAGTCCAGGTGAGGTGACGGCTGGTGATGACATCATGCAGACACTACAGTCATAGACCTGCCTAAGACTTTCAGTTTTTGATGCAGTGATTTGTTTGGTGCCATGTTTCACTCCATGGAAATGTTACACATTGAAAATCAAAAGTTGAAGTGAAACTGAATCCACTTCCCTTATTTTTTTTTTTGCAAAGGCCCAAAACTATTTGAGAAGGAACCATACAGTATCAGAAATCAGTCGCACATGTACATCTCCTCATCAAATGATTTACTTTCTGCACATTGAGGCACAGAAATCTGTAACCTGAATGTCTGTTTTGTGTTTTTATTTTGTTCCTCAGTCGAGCCATTTGACGGATGTTCGAGGGCTGAGCTCGAGCACGCAGAGCCTGACGAGAAGAGGTTCATTCGGTGGGACCAGCTAACACACACACACACACACAGGGTCAACAAAGCCTCTCGAGGTAACTGGAGAGACGGTCAGTGAGAATTCAGAGGTACTACTTAAACGTGGATCCCCCATGATGAGTCCCCCTTACAGTAAAAACTTTTTCAAAATGTTTTTCTAAATACCCCTCATTAAAAAATAAAAAATAGTTTCTATTTTCTCCTCCCTTTCAAAGTTTTCCACATTGTACCGTAATCACATCATTCCTTCCTTCCTGGTTTTTTACATTTTTATTAAGTTTGTTAACAAATTAAGATTTGAAATCCAAAGTTAACTTTTAACTTAAACAAATGAAAGAAAACTGAAGCTGTGTTTTATACAGAAATATATTTGTTTACACATCAACCCCTTAAGACTACCTAAACTAACATCAGCTCAGTTTTCACTCAACTTTATTTAAAAAAATGTTTCAACAGGTTAGCAAAAGTTTAAGTTTTAAAGTGGCTCCTCAGCTCCATTTGTTTTAACAGAATTGAAAATGAGTTATTTATTTATATTTTAAATGAAGATGAGCAGGCACATTGGCGTTACAGTAAAAAAAACTTTATATTTGTTTGAATCCTGAAGGACACAAAGCTGTTTGCACTGTGATCAAAGACATGACATTAAAATGTAAATGTGTTTTGTTAATGAGGACAAATTTTATCTCTAAAGTTTATTCTGTCTAAGATTTTTAAATGAAAATGACTTTTTGCCTTTTTTTTAAAATTGCAGGTCAATCTTCTATTTTAATTTTGTCAAAGTGATAAAAACATGATGTGTGTTTCTATGTCGGTCGTCCGGTCCTGCCATTCCACATTATGAGAAAAAGGACCGCCTCTTACTGAAGTCCTTAGTTCTTTATCTGAAGCGTTTGAATATAATGAATGAATCTGACTTTAACGATGGTACTCGTTGGAGACTTTTGCACATTGCCGACCAGCTGGTCCGTACCGAGAACTGTTAATGTTTGAATGAAATATCTTTATAACACATTTCAATATTCAGTAATTATGTATTCGTCGTCATGTCTGTTCAAGCTCTATGGACACCACATGTTTTTGTCATATGCCGGAGTTCATGTGCTCTCTAACCGGCCTTGGACTTGACAGAGCTGCATTAACTCAAAGCCCCTCTGTGCAGGAGGGGAACGTCTCTGACCCCTCGGGGGTTTCAAAAACAGACGGAGGACCATGAATATCATGCATGTCAAAAGAATTTCATATGAAGCAGCACAACTTAACTTGTTTCTTCAGACGTAAACTTGTGACTCTGTCGCTGCGTAAACAAAACATTCATAGTATCTTCCATTTGATGATGATGTTAGGGTTAAAAACCATTCCAATAAACTCCTTTAAGGTTTATTTCCACTTGTTTGAAACACTGTTTCCCTGAATCGACAGAGAGCTACTGATTTCATAACTGTGGTAGAAGGTCTCACTGCTGTCAGGGCTGAAGTCGCACTATGTTAGTTACTGTAGGAAGAACAATTTGTAAGAATGTTACGTACACAATGGTATAACAATATGTAGGACCTGGGACTGTATTTCCTCTGATGCTTTGTTTATTTTGCTTAATTTCAATGGTTGTATTTTATATTTGCAAATTTAAGTTGAAATAAATTACTATAAAACATGTTTTAGTGTTTTTGTTTGCATGGAAACATTACGTAATGATGAGCTGATTTGAAAATGTTGAAGGTCACATATTCTGTAAAAATCCTCTTCATGTTTCTCCAACTCTAATATGTGTCTCTAGTCCGTCTACAAACCTTCAAATTATGAGAAAAGTCCATCCTCTCCGTCTTCTGCCTGCTCACTTTTCAGAAAATGTGTGTTCAAACAGGCCGTTTGGAGATTTTCCCTTCATGACATCACAAAGGGCAGTAGCCCCTCCCCCAGGTGGGTGACACTCCCACAGCTAGGTGTTTGTTCTGCCCTCTGAGTCTGCCTTCTCACGTAAACAATAGGACATGGAGCGAAAAGACCGAGTACACCCAAGTCCTTCCAGAGAGGGGGCGTGGTCAGACACCGCTCATTTACATATTTAAAGGTACAGACAGAAGAGGAGGAGAATATGTCACCTTTAATATGTGATGTTATGTTTGAGTTCAGGTCTTAGACTTTAGTGTTAGTATTGAAAAGCCTCCAGTTCCAGACAACAAAAAACTCAAGTCAAAAGCTTAATACAAACATGTACATTCAAACTCCTTTGTTGATAAGCAGATACACAAATAGTCATGCTCAGTATAAAATCTTTTTACAGCTGCAGAAGCAAAGAAAACTAAAAGTAGTCTTGCCTGTATGACAGACGAAACACGCACTGATGTTACACCCACAGATGGAATAACATTTCTGTTGTTATTGACCCACAGACCACTGCTTACATCTTGTTTCAAACAAAACATATTACTTATGTAAATAGCACCACATAACGCAATAACGTTTGCATCTGAAGAGAAAAACTGATTTTTTGCCCCACAAATTTGCAGAACTCTTAATGTGCTTTTAAACTGCACATCATATGTTGGAGTTTTGTTTTATTTAGGATCTCTCCTGTCAGTATATCTGAGAGCAAGTTTTAATACTGAATAGAAACATTGAAAATACAAAATGTTAGAGTTCAAAATCCTGCACACTCATGTAACGCTGTGTGGACAAATTAAATCAACTGTTTTGTCCTAAACCACCGCTGCTCTCTTTTCACTCGAGGGGGCAAACTAAGCAGATTTACAACAGGATGTAACAGTATTAAATTGTTCTAAGATGTCATTCTATCACTGCTTTACTTGTTTGATGCATCATGTAGGGGTTATACATGTACATAAACAGAATTATGTGCTGACCAGTTAAAAAGAAAACGTGATTTTAGGCTGTAATTCAGTCACTAACTGCAGGTGGATTGATTTTATTTCTAGCACAGACCTGGCTACAGTTCTTTCATGTGTTCGTTTCTGAAGCTGATGTGTAAATAATTACAACACCAGCAGAGTGTGTGTGTGTGTGTGTGTGTGTGTGTGTGTGTGTGTGTGTGTGTGTGTGTGTGTGTGTGTAAGCTTTGGTGTTCATATTCCAGTGTAACTGAATATCTTAAACGCTTTAATTACTTGACAGCGAATGGCAGCTTTCAAAAACCAAACACTTTCTTCATGGTGATTCTATGCACGTCGGATACTCTGCCAATCACATCGTCTGGGTGTTGCTATGGTGATGACATTTTGTGCAGTGCGTGACACCTTCATGTCTGATGAGCGATCTGAGAGATTTTCTGCAGCATCTCCTCCGACTCCAGCTGCTCCAGAGTCAGCAGAGACAGACCCAACTGGTCCTCCTGAAGACAGAGAGAGGGGGGGAGGAGAGAGAGAGAGAGAGAGAGAGAGAGAGAGAGATTTTAAGGGAAAGGTTACAAGAAATGGGAATCAGGAAAGGTGAGTTTGTGTGGGCAAGACAGCCTCATTTTTTAGTAGCCATGTGTCCACTTCAACGCTCTCCAGTTTTTTAAATTTTGACTGCAGAACCCATTTTAAAAGCTCCGCATCAGAGCTACATATTGGTCCTTTAAACTACCCCGATAATAAGTTGAAACAGGCCCTTTAAAGCACAGATTGTTCAGTTGTGGGGTGTGGTGCCTTGCTGGTGCGACTCGTACCTGTCTGAAAGGCTGAGCCATCTGGCGCAGGAAGTGCTTGGAGAGCTGGACGGTTTCGTCCACGGTGAGGTTCAGACTGCCGTCGTTAATGTGCTCCTGGATCCAGCGAGGAAGCTTCCCCCGTTTGTCCGCTCGCGCATAACGCTGTGCGAGGCAGAGGGAATCATTTAATCATGACCTATAAGAACTCAAAACACCAACTTTCCCATTGGAGCTTTTATGAAGCTGAAATGTGAACACTGTGTCTGTAATGGGATCTCACAGAAAGGTATGAAGAAGGCTGATCTTATAAATGTGTTGAAGTTGAAAGTTGATTTGAAAAGAAGTTTGGACTGGGTGAAAATCACAAACCTTGTCAGCAAAAATCATCAGTCCATAGTCGGTCTTGCCTCTGATGGCTCTGCCCACGCACTGGGCAGCGTGCCGCATGGCATCAAACGTCAGGAAGTCATTTTCTCTGATCTGAAACTGATCCCGAAGGTACTCCAGACGAGCCTGAAATATAACACTTTAATCATTATCAGAATATTAATGAGGAAATTATTTAAAGAAAGTTACTTCCTCCTAAATTAAATGCGGTAAAGAAATACTACAACAAGAAAGAGAAATGTTGAATCTGGACTCTTTTTTATAAAAATATGTCCAACTCTTTGGGGTGACAATTTGACGATTTGAAAAATGGTTATCTGAAGATACTAAACTCCTTTGAGGTTTGACATTTCTCCTGCTGCCAAGAGGATTCTGAATCAGATTAGAAAATGTAAAAAGCATGCTGGGTTGCTCGCTGCAAAATGCGCCAGTACTAGTATGTAACACACCTGCAGAGGACACTGACTGAAACATTTAGGCACTGGCATGTAAACCTGTAAGACTGCACTCTAAATCTATTCATGAAATCATTTGTGTAGGCGATATAAGTTTCCCTCTCAAAAACAATAAGTACAATAAAATGGCAGAAAGTAAACATGGTGTGTTTTATAGTAAGAGTGCACACAGTGATGGTTCTGACCTTCAGGATGCGGCTCTGGGTGTAAACATAAGGCACTCCAAACATGATGACTGCTCGGCCAAAGTGATGAACTGAACAGAAAACAGAACAAGATATGTGGTTATTATGTTGACAATTTGACTTCAACTTTGCAACACACAACCGACTTAAAGGCAGGGTTGGTAATTTTTTTTTAAACTAGCATGATTTTGAAAGTTCAACCAAAATCTTCAAAAGTTTATCTGGAGAAAATGTCTAACCCTGCCTTAAAGATTTGTGGATTTATAACAAAGAATAAATCAAACGTGTTGCTTTCACTGTTTGTTTTTTCCTTTTATTCTTTTTCGACTGCTTCCACGTGTCCCCACAGGGGGTTTCCTCTTTAATAACCTCTGTAACCTGCAGCTTCCTGAACATTTACCAAAATCTATTCCTTCAGAAACCTTTCCTCTGGCCACCGACAGGAGGATGGCTCCTCTGCCGTTCTCACACGCCTGAAAAGAGGAGACAGAGAGAACCGTCCATGATCAGGAAAGTGGGAAACACTGGGAGAACAGTTAGAAATAACATTACCATCTTACAATTCTTTATATAGAGTGCAATTTCTAAATGGATCACCACAGGTATTTTTTGTCACAGAGGCAGCTGTGGCTCCTAACTTTGGATATTTGTAACTTATTTTAGAATCTTAATGCATAAAAAGTGAGACGACCGGAGTCTCACTGACCTCCTGGTATTTCTCCAGGGCCATGCTGGTCTCTGCAGCGTCCGGAGTCTCAATGAAGATCAGTTTGTTTCTCTGAATATTCTCCAAGATACCCTGAAAACAAACATGTACAAAAACACATTAACACATGTGGTCTTCTTCACATACACAAAGAAAAAAACAAAGTGTTATTATTCATAAGATAAATGTGGATTCAGGTCTAAAAGAACTAGCTCCACCTCTCAGGTGTGTGTGTGTCTGTGTCTGTCCACACACTCACCTGTTCATACCAAGACGCCACGATGTTCTCCATGTACACGTAGCTGGTGAAAAACGCAACGATGCCATCAGGAACGATTGCAGACATCTCGAGGAGAAGGTTGCCGTAGTTACGGATCACAGCTGGAAACAAAGAAATGATGACATTGCACTTGAACACAGAATAATAATACTGTTTACAGATACGATCCTTTGAAAGTGAGTGAATGTATTTATGTAAAAGTGAAAAATTTCAACAAATAGATAAACGTCTTTAGGACAGAATTATCTACGACAACAATTAAATAATAATAATAACTTTATTTATAAAGCACTTATCTAAACAAGGTTACAAAGTGCTTTACAGAATTTATACAATCAAACTAAATAAAACATACATTAAAAGTGCTTCACAAAATAATGAGGACAAAACATCAGTGAGTTATAAAAATGGATTAAATTCATTAAAGCAGGACATTAATTACTAATCAATCGTTAAAAAGGCCTTCCTATAAAAATGTGTTTTGAGAAAGGATTTAAAAATAGGAACAGAGTCTGCCAGCCTAATTTCTTTGGGTAGGGAGTTCCAGAGCTTAGGGGCTCTGACGGCAAATGCCCGGTCGCCCTCGGTTACCAGCCTAGATCTAGGAACGACTAACAGAGGTGCTCTTGATGATCTAAGACCTCGGCTTGGAGCATAGGGGGTTAAAAGTTCGTAATGTAAGGGGGGGGGCTAGACCGTGTTGTGTTTTAAAAGTTGAGAGAATTTTAAAATCAACCCTGTAAGTAACGGGCAGCCAATGGAGGGAGGAAAGGATCGGGGTAATGTGGGAGCTGCGGTTTGTATTCACTTGCTGGAGTCCACTGAGGACCGACTAAAGCGAGTTAGGGGGTTAGGGTAGTCCAAACGTGGAAAGACAAAGGCATGAATAAGCTTCTCTAGATCAGGGTTGATTTCAATAATTAAAGACGTATCTACTCACCAAAGTCTTCTCTGGTCTCAAACTTTGAGCTGAGTGCCACCTGATCGTTTCCTCTGCCGACAATCTAAATCAGGGAAGAAATAAAGGAGTCAAAAAACATGAACATGTAGTTATGTATAATGTGTAATATGTAATATGTACTATATTATATAGTATAGAATAGTTTACTTGTATGCCCGCCCCATCCCCCCAAAAAAAAGTTGTAGTAATGCAACTTAACATAAAATAAAAATAAATAAATAAATAAATTAAATTAAATTAAAAAAATGCAAAGATTGTTGTTATGCTGCCAGTTCAGCGTGGTGAAACTAAAAGAAGTCAGAGTGCATGAAATGTGTTTTTTCTTCCTCTAATCTAAATGACCAACAGGAGACCTCATGCACAGCCTAAAGGTTCTCAGGTGAGCACGGTTGCAGGAACATGCCATGAAAAATTAAATCTACAACCCGAAGCACACTGAAAACGACTTCACTGTAACTTTATTGTGAGCGAACAACGCGTTACGCCTGCAGCTTCCTCTCTGTGACATCATTTGTCAGTTTTTAGTCTTTGAGTGTAGAGAGACGCACCAGAGGACAGAGGCAGGTCCGGGCCAGCGTCATGGTGAAGGACGCCATGGTAACCGGGCGGAAGTCGAGGATTTTGGGATAGATGTCGAGCGGAGAGAGAGTCTGAAGAAGAGGGTGAAAGAGGAGAAGCACACCAACAGTACATGTACATGAGTAAGTAGTGTTGTCTCACTTTATTGTAACAGCCAAACGTCTCACTAACCAGCTGATAACTCCTTTAACGAGCGTTAAAAATGAAGGCCACTGATGTGAACAAAATGTTGTTTTCTTACTACATGGTGAACATTTAACAAACTATATTTTCCTCAACTACTAAAATGGAATAATGGGAGACTAAGTTGGTTATCTTTAAAGTTGGAATATTTTGTTTTTACCACTCTGCGCTGTCTGGGAATTTAGGGGTTTAGAAATAAACACATTTTCTTTTCCTTCATGTCAAAGCCACCAGACAACAGTTCCAGGACTGACCGTCTGTAAACGGAGCAAAAGGAAACAAAGTGGTGACTAAACTTACCCCCGAGGTTATGACAACTGACTGAAACCTTTGAAAAACAGGTTTGATGGCTATAGACGGATCCATGCAGCTGGAAGAGGACACAGAGGACAACAACTGATCAGTCACACACCCCCCGAGGCTCAGAGGTTCACGTTTACATCACACAGGTATCATCCTGCATCGTTTCACATGTTTTCATCTACTCTTAAAGTACAACACAATGAAACCGTTTTTTATTCTTTATTTGTAAACAGTGACTTTTTATCAGTCTTTGTAGTCTTACACTTATTTTATTTTATTTCCTACTGTAATGTGTGAAGAGCAATGGCAACACTGAATGAGATTAATAAAGCATTTCTGATTCTGATACACAACTGGTCCTCAGTCAGGGAGCAGCTGAATGTTTTAGTAAGTATTGAAGAAGACACTTAGTTGTTCTTGATAAATGCTTACAGAAGAAAGCCAATAAAAACAGGTCTGAAGACATTCAACAGAATAATCATGCATCGTTACTTATCTCCAGTGTATTTGTTTGCCTTGCCCATGAAGACATTGAAACTACAATCTTGCACGATTTGTTCGTTTGTCACTTTTTAACCAACCTGAAGTGCAGCACGGGGTTGGCGATGGTCGGAGTTCTGTCTTCAAAAGGCTCGATGATGATGGTAAAACCTGCAGCAGAGCGGGAAGGAAAAGAAAGAAAAAAGAACAGAACAAAAATCAATCAGAGTATTGCAAAGTTTGATAGTTTAAAACTAAACTGAACTTTCTTATTAACTAAATAATTACTTAAATAAGTCTTTTAAGGTCACATATTATTCAAGACAAACTCCCCCATGTTCCTCTAACTCTAACATGTGTCTCTAGTCCGTCTACAAACCCCCCAATGATGAGAAAAGTCCATCCTCTCAGTATTTTGCCTGCTCCACTTTTCAGAAAATTTGTGCTCAAACAGGCCGTTTGGAGATTTTCCCTTCATGACATCACAAAGGGCAGTAGCCCCTCCCCCAGGTGGGTGACACTCCCACAGCTAGGTGTTTGTTCTGCCCTGTGTCTGCCTTCTCCCCGTAAACAATAGGACATGGAGCGAGAAAGCACCGAGACCCACCCAAGCCCTTCCAGAGAGGGGGCGTGGTCAGACACAGCTCATTTACATATTTAAAGGTACAGACACAGAAACAGCCTGTTCTGAGCAGGGCTGAAATAGAGGGGTTTATAGACATGATCAAAGTGGATGAGATTTATTTAAACTGAAAAATGAACAGAGTGTTTTTGTACCTTGGCTGTAGGTGCTGACCAGAGTTGCAAAGCTGGAGATGAGAGTAACAGCTGAGAAGTCTGCTATGTCTGCGATCTCCAGAGTTCGTAGTAACGACTGCAATCGCTCCGCACAGAACCTGGAGAGACACAGAAGATGAGAGAAGAAGAAGGGAGTGAGAAACTGAGGAGAAGACCGTCTAAAGACCTGGTTAGTCCGGAGAGTTGAAGCTCAAACTGTGGTTATAAAACAGATGTTGAGTTTTGAGGTGATTAACTGATTCTGACCTTAGCGGTTTGCGGTCGATGCAGACTTTCTCAAAAATGTCTTTGAGGAACTGCGGGGCGCTCTCCTGCACCACATGCTGGACCCTCAGGCGGGACTTCAGGTACTCCAGGAAACGCCTCAGGAACCCAACAAAGTGCTCCGCTGTACGGATCGTGCCGGGGACGGCCTCTGAGAGAGCGACGGCAGAGTGATCAGCGTTATGATGATGAAGAATAAAACCAGAGACTATCTAGTTTTGACTATATCTGGCTGATGGTCGTACCTTTGAGAATTTCATCTGGTAACACAGGGTTCGAGAGGTAGACGTCTGTTTCCCTGGCAACATTGGCTTCCTTCAGCCCCTCCACCAACCGGCTGTACTCCTCCTTCAGTTTAGCAGAGTCTGTCTCTTTTATCCTGTCAGAAGAAATGAAAGTGATTTGGAAGGTGGCTAACTTTCTATTCAGGCTGCTGTGAAGATAATAAGAAAGCTTGTGAAGGAAATATGGGTGTGTACTTTTGTATGGTGGTCTGAAGCGTGTCCACGTTGGTCTGGCAGCGGTCGAGTGTGCGTCTGGTGATGTTCACACTCATGGCGTCGATGCACACATTGTCTGAGCAAGAAACGGGAGACGGAGAGCAGAGGGATGAAAAACAATAAAATGTAAGAAGACATGAAACACTTGACGATCTGTATGATGCTTTGTAATGAATTTATTGATTTATTAAAATTGAAATAAAGTGAACCTCCTTCCTCACCTATGTTATGAGCCTCGTCAAACACCACCACTGACTTCTTGGACAGCTCTTTGGACACCATGTCGGCGATCTTAGGGTCCAGCAGGTAGTGATAGCTGTACACCACAATGTTAGCGTGCAGGATCTGAAAAGACAGCAGACGGGACAAACTCAGAGAAACTTTACCCACAACTTCAAATATTCTCATATCTCTCCATAAACATTGACTCTGTTTTTCAGCAGTTGTGAAAAGTTCCTCCTGATGACAAAACTTTAAATACTTGACGGCGGGGTAACGTACTGCGTAACGGGCCATGTAGTACGGACACCAGCCTTTCCTCCTGCCAAAGTCCTTCAGGTCGTCCAGGTTGTAGATGCCAGCAGGAAGAGGAACCTGTCGGCCCACAGCATCAAACTCCTGCAGACAGAAAGAAAAACAATCACAGGAGAAGTTCATGGACACAAACACAGCAGACCAGTGTGAACACATACAGGTAACATCACATTCAATCTGCACCTGATGGGAGGTTTGACTCTAACAGAGTTATGTTTCATTTCACAGTCAGTTTGAGCCCTTTCAGAGGTCACAGGTCAGAGGTCAGAGGTCACAGGTCAGAGGTCAGGCGTTTGAGTAAAAGATTCATTTCAATGTTCCCAGTTTAAAACCAGCCGTCAATAGTTCAGGGAACTCTACCAGAGCAAGTTCATTCAGAAGACGTCTGGTAACCAGACACTCTCTCCTTTAGCTCGACAACATGTAACGTGAGTTCTTCTTATTGTTCACTTTATCCTAGTGAGAGAGCCTAACACGGCGGTAACAGTGCTCCTATAATAGATAACAGATCGATATCAGTTACCGGGTGTGGTTGCCATGGTGCTGCAGGGAGCTTCTGATGTAAATGATGGTCTCACAGTCTTCAAATACATCGTTCACATGAAGTTAATAAAACATCTCGGTCAGAGCTCATATCCAGCTACTTTACAGATTAGATGATGCAAAGTGATGAAGGTGAAGGTGAATTTATCAAACCCATGCAGAGATAGAAAAACTAAGTTTGAATCACTTCAGTTGGTGAAACAAAATGCACCTACAGATGAATTATTAGATAATAATTTGAGTCTGTTTTAAAGCCTTAACACAGGGTTTATTTTGACATATTGTTTAACAAACATAAATGTACTTATTCTATACATATTATATACAGTGTTTCCCCTACCATTATATATATATATATTTTTTTAAAGATTTATTTTTGGGCTTTTTGTGCCTTTATTGTAGAGATAGGATAGTGGATAGAGTCGGAAATCAGGGAAAGAATCATTTAAGGATACCTTTCCGAAAGAAAAGGACATCTGTCATTAAAAGTAAAGCATGAACACCAAGATTCCTTCAAGTGTTTGTGTCGTCGTGTCGGCTTGTCCCCACCCCCCCAACGCTGTAAACCGAGGGGAAACACTGAGAGAGAGATATATATATATATATATATATATATATAATATATATATATATATATATATAGAATGTGTTGGTACATTTTAAACTTTGAATACTTAAAGAAACACTGTCATCCTCTCCAGAAGCTCACTCAGGTTGATATGTGTGACTGAGGATATTTTCTGACCTTTGCCTCGGTCTCTTTCACTTATAAAATTCTGTTCTGGATGAATTCAGAGAGTTTCTCACCTCGTAGAAGCGACACACAGGCTGGTCAGGGTTGCTGTGGCGCTGCGCTCGAATGTACGATGCTGTCAGACTGTGGCACTTCCCATCAACCTCCTTACCGAAGCGAAGAGCGCTCACCTGAAGAGAAGCAGACGATCACGGTCAAAGTCAAAGTAGAGAAATATTGATTTAAATCCTTCAGACCAGAGCAGGTCAGAAAGCATGGATCTGTATCAAGAAGTCAGATTAAGGCTGATTTATTGCTTAGTCAGCTTTAAAAGTGCATGTTTGCACGATCGTGTTTCGCAGTGATGTACGTCCAGCTGCTGTTTTTACCTCCGGGTGGATGCAGAGGTTTTTCCTGGAGGAGAGCGCCAGAGCCAGGAAGTTGTTGCTCTGTCCAGTTTGCTTGGAATAAAACTCCATCAACTTCCTCAGCTCCTCCACGACCTGCTCACACAGCAGATCAAAAATATGATTAGATTTAATTTAT